GATCCGAAAAAGGATCATTTACCATGACAACGGCATGTCCTCGTGCTCCTCGTGATGAGGAAAATAGAGGAAAAAAGCAATAAACTGATCCTCGCGACGAAGGCAAGTAGGAAAAGCAACATAAGCTATATATGAATATAAGAAACGTATATATTTCGGTTTGAAATCAAAACGCTTCTTGAATAGAATACACTCCTTAGGATAGTAAAATTATAAGAGCTTAAAATTAAAGCCGATGAATTGTTTTTTTTTTAATGACTTGGAAAATAAACCGGCGTAAGCAGACACCACATACGTACAAAAAAAACATGACAAGTAAGGGTTTAAAAACAGTCTACGAATGTAAATAGATAACAAACATGGAATGATATGTAATTAATGGCTCAAAGTTAAGGCGCCAGCAACGTAGGTTCAGTTAGAATGTCATACATGTACCGCGTCTGTTGTGTACCATTTTCGTTCGGACAACCGCTTATCAAAAATACTTTTTTCAAGTCCTTTCCCCAAAAAACTCTTAAAAAAATCCGGAGTTGGATTTGATCCGAAGAATCCACCCTGAGTGTGGATTTTATGGATTCATGATTTGCCTAAAAAAACGCAAAATCCGTTTTTGGATTTTCCCCCAAAAACGCACCCTTTATCTTCATTGGTCAAAACGCTGTAAAATTGGCCATAAACAATCCTTTCAAACACTTTAGCTATACTGACGGAAATGACTGGGAATAGGTCGATAATTATATAGATTAGATGGCTCACCTTGCTTAAACAACGGAGTAACCCTAGCACATTTCCAATCATCAGGAAATATACCAGAGACTAAATATTTATAAAGACATCACACAGAGAAACTGAAATCACATCGGCACATTCACGTATTATTTTAGCAGAAATATTATCAAGTCCTGTTGCTTTAGATCTAGATAATTTGTTTAGATGTGAGAAAACAATATTACTGCTAGTAGAAGAGAAACTGAACTTGATTTGTTTTACATTTATATTATTGATGTAACTTATATCATTATTATCAGTTGGAGGTATTTCATTGGCAAGTCGGGGCCCAATTGTTGCAAAATAGTCATTAAAAGCATTAGAAAGCTCACTAGAACAATTACAATTCTTTCACCCTTGTATTGTTGGTGGGACGGGAAGCAAGCTCGTTAATTGTTTGCCATGTTTTTCGAGAATTACCTTTAGATTGAATAAAAGCGTTAGAATAATGAGATGTTCTAGAGGCTTTGAAGTTTTTTTTTTAAAATTGTTTTTCGCATCTTTTTATACTTTGCCCAGTCGCGTGGATCATTCGATGCCATAGCTTTTCTTTTGGCATCATCACGATCGCGCGTGCCTTTCTTGAATTCTAAATTGATCCAGGCTGTTTTCTTTGTTCTAGCGCGTCTAGTTCAGAGTGCAGGGGCGGATNTTTCTAATACAACTGGTATTCTGAAAAAAAAAAAAAAAACTATGTGGTTTATTGGTGTTGAAGTAGAGCAAGAGACGAGTGCACCCCCTCCTAAAAAAAATCCTGGATCCGCCCCTGGAGTGGAACATGAATGTTAACTCTGGTCCAAAAATTTCCTTTTCCAGTCAGCCCACAAAACATTTGGATCATCAGAACCGTTACATGTCCAGTCTTGCAGAGCGACATCGTTACGAAAACTCTCTCGATTATTAGAATTTTTGAAATTTCTGTAAGAATGGTTCAATGCTCTTTCGAAGGAAAAGCGGGAGATAATTTCCTATAAACTTAAATAAGGCTATGATCGCTGATACCATTATAAGAGATTCCGGAACAGACTACCATGTCAGTATAATTTGTAGTGAAGTCCTAAAATGCAGAAAAATGTTTGATTGTTTAATGCACGAGATACTGTTTATAAGACAATTAAAATATAATGTAACAGTACACTCAGAATCCAGTATTTGTGTATATATATTTTTTATTTTTACACTGTCATGTAAACAACACAGCTCTATATACTTATTGCAATTTATATTCAAGCATCATGTCGACTCCGAAACGCCGGATTTTAGCCGATTCGGTTTTCCTAATCTATGTTTTAACAATCCAGCATTGACAAGAAATTACTTAAATCTCCTATACAAACAAAGATATTACTAATAAAAAGCAAGGTATAATAAAGGTTATATATCTCTAGCATGCATTCAATTTTCCCTCCCCTCCAAGGAGGAAATTGGGAAGGGGACGGCTGTTCACAGACCATTAGAAGTGTCACGGTTATGCGTATTATTGGTTGCCTTCTCTACTAACCTAAATTTACATGGAGGTGGGGGACCCCAGGTAGGTGAGGTAACCTGCTTAGATGGGGTAAAAAAATAACCCTCCTTTACATGCAATCTGTAGTAGGAAACTTGGGGGAACAGTAATCCTCTACAGTGAACTCAAACTTTACGTCTCTTTAAACTGTTTTAATGTAGAACACTTGTTGCTCAACTTTTCACAATCAAGGCTAGCAGTATCTCTCTCTGACAAGACCTAGTCACAGCTCCTTTTATCTTGACTGAATCTGAAGGCTGCCAATCTTACTCAACTTAAAATAATCTTACATCAGTAAAAATTCGATTGGCTATAAGAATTATTAACATATTTTCCTTCGAGGTTGTGTCGTAATAGGAAAATCAATTAAAACTCCAAAATTCACTTTTGTCCAATAATTGTCCAGTCAAAACAAAACAGTCAGAGAGACACAAAAATTACAAGGAATGTTTACATGAATGAAAATCACATATGTACCATATCGTTACTCTAAAATGTACAATTTGTCAATTCGCGTACAGTGCTTAAGTTGTCGTTAAAAAGCTTCTTGTTGGAATATCGTACAATGGTAATTAGTCCCGCCTTTTTCCATATATTAACTAAAAGATTGTTTACAAATCCCTAGTCAAAAATCAATTAGCAAGATATTTACATTGCGAAAGCCTTTAAACAAAGATATCACTCGTTACAACTTTTAGCAAGTAAATTGAACTAGGCAGTAACAAAAGCTTGTTTACCACAATGAGTTAACTAAGATAGTCTGTTGGACAAGGTTTTCTTTTGCAATTGCACTGAAGTTTCGATCAAACCACTAAATACGCGAAAGATAGTAAAAATAGGAATGTCCAGGAAAAGACAACTTGGTAAGGTCGAGCTTCTAAAGATTTAGGAAAAACCAATTAAGCCAATTAATGTAAGGTAATAAACAAATGTCGTTAAATTTACCAGAACTAATTAGATTAAGAACCTCTGTGTGGGCTCAGTTTAAACAAAAAGCATCATTTCTTAATTGAATAGTGGCACGTGTGCAAAGAAAAACCGACGTCCAAAAGAGCATCTTTACGGAAAAAGGCCAAACCTTATTAACGAAAAACAAATAGCATTTGTAAGCCCAGTACATTCTAGTAGAACGTATTTATATAACAATTCAAAACACTCTACTTAGTGATAATAATAATTAAAATATTTTAAAATAGCATTGCTTGATGATTCATAAACGTTCCTTATTCGATAAAGGTATTTTCATTTTGGTATTAACTTATACCCAAAAATATCGTTTTACAAATCTTACAACCCCGCCATCCCGGGGTGCACTTTCTCAAGATTATTGAATGGTCGCTAAGCGCGTAAACAAGAAAAATGCTGGCAAACCACGTGTTTTGGCGATTAATGCACTTCTACACTCCCTTGTTGCTCTTGCTGCAACCTTCAGAGAAATGGCTTTCTATTGTTAACTTTAATAATGATGCAAAGCCACCGCCAAAGTGAATTTTGCGCGAATTTGATGTATCACGAATCCGACCCCGGCCAGGCGGGTTACCCCACCCTGAAACTTTTACATGGCAAAATTTGACCCCGGCTGAGAGGGTAACCCGGTCTGGTAGACCGGGCTACCCGCCTTGGCGGGTCACCCCACCTATCATGTAAATGTGATCAAATTAAAATGAGAGATTATATGGACAGGCGGGTTACCCCACCTAAGTGAGTTACCTCACCTACCTGTGGTCCCCCACCTCCATGTAAACAGGCCCTTAAAAATTCAGAATTTCAATCGATGAACTTGAGTCTCGGAAATATATAAGATTGCGAGTTTTGTAAGCAGATTACAAGTCAACAAAGATTACTTACTATAGATAATGGGTAAGTTAAATTAAAAAGCGTCCGAATTTAATGAATTTGGACTACTAAATCTATAAATTTGTTTACTAAGATAGTGGAACATCGCATCACGATCACATCGCATCATTTTTGTCATAGTTTGGTTATGAAGATGTAGGCACTAGCTTTCCGCCCTTCCCTCAAACAGTTAACCACTGTTGATGACCCGTATATTTTTTTGCTTCTCTTGGTTGTTCCTTGGGCCTTCAAGTCTACAGGATTATTTTGTGGGAGTGTTCGAGCCACTCGCTCGCTAGGCGAGAAGGTACCAAGAGTCTTCTTCTTACATCATTGGCTTTATCGTTCTTTATCTTCTACTGCTAACAGTTATCAACTACTGAACTCTACTCCTACACTTACTGCGCCTAGCTAACTAGCCAAATAGTAGCGGTTTTTTATAGCCAAAGCTGAAAATGTTTGGGTTAGCTGACCGTCAGAAGAAAAACAAGGTAAACTTGGTGTGGTTAATGTTTTGGTATAACCGGACTCACACGACCACGATCGGGAAGAAACTACAAACCAATGAAAAACTAAAACGCTGGTTAACAAACCCAAACAGAAACTTCAACGGGACTTCCCAAACACGACCACCTACGTAAAACTCACATCTGTGGCAATGGCGAGCAAGAATATCCTTAAAATGGAATTGCGCAATTTTGCGAGCTAAGCATAAATTCAAGCATGAGTAAAATCAAAAGCTCAAAATAGGGAAACACTCATGTGGACAAAATCCTGACTAACCTTGACTACATAATGAAACAAACTCGAAACTTGAAAATGGGGCAGATCTTAAAAATAATTTTCAAACTACTTCACATCAATTTTGTATTTCGAGTTTCCATTATATCTAACGTGACAACAACTTGACTGCAAAAACAGCCTCGATCATATTGTAGAATGATTTTAAATCCGAATAATCAGTGAATTCCAAATTGTAGACACGTCTCCTTGTAATAACAGAAGCGATTTGCCTCAGGTTTCCACTGTGATGGGCTCCAACTCTCCGCTTTCGGCCGGCATACTTCGTGGCGTTGGCAACAAACGTTCCTGGTTGGACCATAAGGAGATCTGTTGTGAGAAAACAAAAGGTTCTTTGTAAAGAGCTGATTAATAATTATTGAATGAGGTCTCTGTGATATCTGAAATAATCAGGTTCGAGGTAAGTGTTATCAGCCCAGCCGAAGGCCGAGGCTGATAACACTTACCGAGAAAAACAGAATCTAATAATTCTATTAATAAACATCTGACTGGATTTGCTAAAACATGGCTATAGAAATTTCTCTCATATACCTTTACAGAGTCCTGTGGTGGAGAATGTTTGCTTTTATTATTGTCATTTTTTATTCGTTTACTCTTTACCGAATATTTACTGAATACGCTAACCTAAACCCCTTCCCCCCGCAAAAAAAAAAAAAAAAAACGCTTTTCATAACTTCCCATAATTCTCTCTGCATGTCAGTTTGAAATCAGCGCGCGTATTAGACTGAACCCTGCTCTCGTAGTGGGTTGTCTTAGAATTTTTTTGGCTGCCTTGAGCAAAGTTTTCCCGGAAGACATCATTAAGCCTTATGAAGGAACAAGTCTCACGATTGACAAAGTCCTGAGTCTGTCAACGCCTTCGGTAAATTACACAATTAATGACTTTCGTCTCATTTGGCTTCACGGGTGAATGACTGATCCCGGGCTTGAGACGGAAAGAATAGATATTGCGAGCTATGTTTTTGGCAGTAACAAGTCTTTGGCTTCACAAGTAGGTTCGAGGGGTGAAACCTATTGGGCGAGATGGAAATTGATGCTGATTTCTGAACAGGCCAAAGACTTAGTGGGCTCACTGGTTTGGGTCGAGAAAAGTTTCTATAGAACGATTTAAGTGGAGAAAGCGAGAGTTTTTTATAGTAATTTGACGATGTTTCGCCCGTGTTGAATGTGGAAATATTATGAGTGGTTTTCGGAGGTGTTGTGATTGCTGACAAAGTCATTTATTGTGTGATTTACCGAATGCGTTGACAGACAAAACCGGGGACAAAACTCAGGTATGTGGTTGAAATACTTTGGGCCAAGCACAAAAACGCTTCGTGAGAGGGGAATTAGGTGATTTTGTGTTAAAAAGCCTACTCTGTGCTCAAAGATTGTGGATTCTTAATCTGTTTTCAGCAGACACTTAGCTATGGGCCTCATGGTTTGACTGACGAAAAGGTTATAATTTCTGAGCGTTTCAAATGTTGTTTATTTCATCGCAAAATCCTGTTACTTCTGCGAGAGCAATTTACCGTCTGTTGCTAGCAACAAAGTTGTCATTGTTAAGCCTCAGCTGGTGACTTTTAACTGCTTTCCATTCGACTTAGATGCCAAATTGTTAAAATGCACATGAAATTTCTTTAGCCACGTTTTAGCAAATTCAGACAGACATTGTTTTGAAGAAAACAAGAATTGCCGAAAGGCGATTCTAACTGGGCTGCCAAGGGGCGATGTCTTCTGAGGGGAGGGGTTGGCTGTACACATTCAGGCCACCACATAACCCTGTCGCCGACCATTGCGTGACATAGAATATCATGTGAGAGTGCAACAAACTCATTTGAACATTGTACCCTTTTGGAAGACTTTCGTAACAAGAAAGTTGAGTACCATTTTAAGTCGGGGCTGTATGGTAACTTTTCAAATTCTACCTTTATGAATAAAAACTAGTAGTTTCTAGTGGAAAGTGAAGTGCTGCGAGTAAAACATGACATTTCAAATAATTTGCATCAGTTGCAGTTTGTTTCGATTGGCCATTGAGAAACGTATCGCTTCAATTCATGCTAATTTGTTACCTTCACTTGCATTCACACTCGTCCCTTGCAAAAGCGTGGCTTGCTCTACGAAACAGGATTTCTCCCGGGCTTGACGTTTTTCACATCACACATTATTTGCGTTCTGAGTGTTCTTTTGTTTTCTTTCTGAATCGATTGACTGCGAACTCGAGGCAAATGCGGTGATATACATACATATATACATACATACATAACTATAACTTCACAGAAGTTCAGGTTTCACGAGTAATCATCGTTTTATTGCAATAAAACGACGATTACTCGTGAAACCTGAACTTCTATGAAGTTATAGCTGATGCTCCTCAATCAATTGAGTCGAGCGCTCTACGAAATACGTTTTACTCAAAAAACGAATTTACATACATACATACATACATACATACATACATACATACATACATACATACATACATACATACATACATACATACATACATACATACATACATACATACATACATACATACATACATACATACATACATACATACATACATACATACATACATACATACATACATACATACATACATACATACATACATACATACATACATACATACATACATACATACATACATACATACATACATACATACATACATACATACATACATACATACATACATACATACATACATACATACATACATACATACATACATACATACATACATACATACATACATACATACATACATACATACATACATACATACATACATACATACATACATACATACATACATACATACATACATACATACATACATACATACATACATACATACATACATACATACATACATACATACATACATACATACATACATACATACATACATACATACATACATACATACATACATACATACATACATACATACATACATACATACATACATACATACATACATACATACATACATACATACATACATACATACATACATACATACATACATACATACATACATACATACATACATACATACATACATACATACATACATACATACATACATACATACATACATACATACATACATACATACATACATACATACATACATACATACATACATACATACATACATACATACATACATACATACATACATACATACATACATACATACATACATACATACATACATACATACATACATACATACATACATACATACATACATACATACATACATACATACATACATACATACATACATACATACATACATACATACATACATACATACATACATACATACACACACATACATATACATACATACATACACACATATTTACATCCAAAAATCGCAAATGAAGCTGGCTTCGGGCATAGGCAACCCTGGTAAGCAAGTTAGCCATTCTGAGCAGGAACTGATTAGCGTTATTTTCACGGACCGGATCTGGAGGTACTTTTAATCAAGTCCAGACATATATATATATATATATATACATTTTTGACGTGGTGATCTGAAATGAGCACATTCCTTTCTTGTAAGGAATGACTTTTCACACGCAGAGCAAGAATCGCAATAAGATAAAAAGAGACATTGGCCATCACATTTTAAACGGTTTAAACTTCAACATAAAGCGAAGAGAACCTCCAAAGGGACTCATCCTATCATCTTTTGAAAAAGGCACTGAAAAAAAGTGCCAATGATAGCTTGAGATCTAGAGACCTCTATATTCAATGGAAGTACACACACACGCACTCTAGCTACACACACAGAGAGATCTGCAATTCGGAAGAAACTCATCAAAAGGTTTAAACTTCAACAAAAAGTGAAGAAAAACAACAAAAGGTACTCATCGTAGCATCTTTTGAAGGAGACCATGAAAAAGCACAGTTGGCTAGCTTCAAACACATCTTCATTAAATAATTGCCTTCGCTTAACATGCTTAAAAGTTACCAAGTTAATAATTGTTGGTTTTCACGAAAATTCAAACTACAGAACTATCATTCTTGCGGGGATTTTACTTTCATGGTGTATTAGAGCAGCTGAAAACTAATTTTCAAACAAATTTTCGCTTCAAAAGGGTTCTTGGTTTTGTAATAGAGTACGCTTGAATTTCTAAGCTCTTGCGTGAAGCAGCATTTACATGACGGCCGAGGGAGCTGTCATTCAGGTTAAAAAGGTCACTTTTTCGAGGAATTTTGCTATCTAAACAGTTCAAGTAGTAGAAAAAGTATTACTCTAATGTTTATGAGTTCCTCTAGGAGTAAATTCACGCTTTTGTAGCAAACCTCGGTAACAGATGTTTCTGTTAGTTTCCGTCCGCCATGTTGGAGCTCATTCGGATGAGCTCCAGCATGGCGTCTCCATACAAAGCCTTATAAATTTGGGTAAAACATTTCCTCGGATATCTCGTATATGAATTATTCCTTCGACCCAAATCTTGGCGAGGGTCTTTGTTTATTTACCTCCTCTCATTTCCCAGATTCTGGACTTTATCTGAATGGCGTGACACTGAAAACCAGCACTTTATAGTTTTTATCACCATAACAACGAAAATCCCAGGGGGAGTACTCCCTTACATTTGTCTCATAGGTATTGATCTGAAATAAGGTCGAGGGTCAGGATTTGGAGAGCTGGACAACACACCCCCACTACGAATTTCCAGGAATATCCCCCCGCCTTCTCAGTTTTATTAAAATAATTGATTGCGTTCATTTTGTGAACAAAAAATCCCGGAGGGGTACTCCCTTACATTTGCCTAATAGGTTTTGCAAAACAATTCTTGCAAGGACCACTTGGGCAAACAGAAGCGAGAGAAAGCCGGATCTTGTTGTAGATCAGGAGCAGCAATACAAAATAACACTTAAAACTGAAGGCAAGGCTGATCGGACAGCTAAGGGTTGGGCAAAAACAATTGTAACCCCTAGCCGTTCGATCAGCCTTGCCTTCAATTTTAAGTAATAGGTATTGGTCTGAAATAGGGTCTAGGGTCAGGATTTGAAGGGTAGAACAGCACACCCCTACCAAGAATTGCTAAAAATACCCCACCCCAGAGAAAAAATCGAAGGTATTTTATAAACTGGGCCAGTCTTCTTCAAGCACAGTTAAGAAGGACATACACAGCATCGCATGGAACACAGTTTGACATTGCTACTGGAAATCATGCTTTGCGCGCGCAACCTACAGATTAGTCACTAATTTGCTAGCAGATAAGTAACAAGACCACCATAGACGGGGCTTCATTGGGTTGCCGACTGTGCGATGCAGTGGTTTAAATTTAACGTTTTGAGAAGTACAGATTATAACTACACTTTTTTCCGGCTTGAGTGTATAGCTACTCGTAACAGGTGTCTCTCTGCCCTCCAGAATGTAGCATGACAATAATAATAATAATAACGGTTCTTCAGTACAGATTTAACGAACAAAGATGTGCAGTCGACAAAACTAACATTAAATCTAAACCCACTGCTGTTTCTGGACACTTTATCTCTCACTCAAACCATTCTCATACTGAAAAGCAGTTAGTCCCACTAGAGAAAATTCATTCTTCACGTGACTCAGTTCATAAGGGCAGGGAGTCGCATTTGATAGATAAGGCCACGACTCTTGAACCTCATGGCCTAAAACGCCATGACAAATTATTGTAATCCATATCTTTAGTATTTTTCCTTTCCAGTTTTTGTGTTGTACGATATACAACGTATAGTAATAATTAATAATTATTCCACGAGTGCGCGTTGGATATGAGTTGGCTACAATCATCTCATATCCTCAAAAAAATAAAAATACCGAGAATTCTTCCCGACTTTTTCTAAAAACAAACTATTTTCAGCTTGCTTTTAATTTTGAGGAGACAGGTACAGTTACCATAATTGAAGAGGACGGTAAAATGGCTCATATACCATGATGGCTAAGCCAATCAGAGCTCTAGAATTGCATTCTTCAATGATTCAGTTTTTAATAATCGCAAAGATAAGCGGACAGACTGATCCGTTTTGTACCACTGAACCAACTGTTCAATTGTTCATAATGAGAACGTGTACGAGCAGGTTTCATAGCATTTTTTATTAAACCAAGAGAGATATCCTTTTGACCTTGTAATCAGTCATGAACGAATTATTAAACTAAGGCGTAAAAATAAGGAAAATTAAACGAATTTGATTGGAGTAGCGAACAGACTCAAATGTGGGAGGCTTTCGGTTGGATAAGCCAACACGCAACGCTTTGCTTTCTAAGCTGAGACAGAGCTTGGCGGAGCTTGATCGCTCATCCCATCTCCTTAGCCCTGCGCCTTGAGTGTTTCACCTTTGAACGTTTTCATTACGTTGGCTTAACCCAGTATCAAAAGACCATAATGTTTCCGGTAATAATAAGAGACCGTGGAAAAAAAAAGCATAAGAGCATTTTTTTCATACCTTTCAAGTTAATGATCTTTTTGGTCTTTTCTGTACCACGCGTCTCTCCTTCATCGGGTTGTGTTGTCAGTTGAAGAGTGTAAAGATCCTCCTGGAAATGTAGTTCTCCAAAATGAGGCTTTTTGTGTCCTACATGTGAACACAAGGTGTTGAAAGGTGAACATGAATTACAACATTTTTTGCTTCAAAGATTTGAATGCATATCAAAATGACAGAGAGTGAAGTGAAGGATGGCGGATGGCGGATGGCGGATGGCGGATGGCGGATGGCGGATGGCGGATGGCGGATGGCGTCACCCATAGAAGTTTTACTTCCGCTATAATTTTCAATGTCCTTAATTGTACTTGTTGACTGCTAGTTACAGCAATTAGTAGACAAATAAATCATTTCGGCTACGCTTAACTAAAATGGGAAACTTTGACTTTTCTGACTTTTATTTCAGTTTTACGAGACTATATGTTACTCTCACTAAACCAAAAACCTCTACAGGAACCTGTCTCAAATGGACAGCATTGTCCTTCCTCTCCATCGATTCGATTGTATATGCCTCAGCAGCCTCGTTTCTAGATAAAACCCGCTTTAGCTGTGCAGAGCGCGGCAGCCTATCTTTTTATGCCTGAGTGAACTAGACATAAATTACGTTCACGGCTATATCCTAAGACGAAATAGCTGAATTCTTGACTAAAACTGAATGGAGGAAATACGGTAATACGCACAAGAAATATTGCTTGATAAATGTCATCGAGTTTTTTACGAGTATCTTCAAGAAAAAAACATCTGTGTATATCCTGAAACAGTGCTGAGAAACAGGAAAACTAGTGGATAACATCCTCTTTGATCGGCAGAATTCTTCCGAGATACTCAGAGTCATTCAATAATTGTTAAAAGCCAACTTGTGTTTCGGCCTCGTTGCGCGATCCACGCACTGCGCATTTCGACAAAACTATAAACCTCGGCCAAGGAGGCCTTTGACTCGACTGTAAACAATGAATTGATACATCATGAATTAATTCCTCGCGAAGAGAGTTTATAATCTCGTCGCGTGTTCAGCGAGTTAACCGCGCGTGTTCTTAGCCAGCTGCAAACTCGTACGCCGCGTATTTCTATTTATGTGTTTATGAATGGTGTCCGCCCTGACGTCATCTAGTGTGTGACGTTACGGAGTATTTTGTGTTTCCAGGCAACACCGAAGAGTGTCTTGCTTTGGTCATATTTCTATCGGTTTGCTTTTTTAGCGGCCTGTTTAGGAGTCGATAATTGCTGTTTGCAAGGAATTTCGAATACAAAAGTGCCTTTAAGAGCAAATGGAAGCGATTCGTTGGATCATTTTTTGCCTTTAGATATGAGCGAAAAATCGAGGTAACAACTCGCAGACGAGTTTGTACCGTATCGGCCTAGTTGGGCATCTGTTCTTTAAATGCGGTGAAATGCGTTTACGTGGGGTTTTTTACCGTTTAAACAACAGTCATTTCCCTTAAAAATACCTTTAAATTAGTGTTTAATAGGGCTCTATCAACTTTTAAAATACAGGGGGTGCTGGCCGAAGTTCTAGGGGAAAGGCTTTAAAAAAGGAGGATTATGCAGTCTTCCCATGATTCCATGCGGCAATTTTTCGCGGTTTTTCGCGTTTAACGTGGCCATTCTGGATTCGTCGTGAGCGTCGGAGATGAGTTTCGACCTTTCAAAAGAGCCTGTTTGACGGGTTTAAGTGAGTTTGTTTTGTTTCATTCCTTTTGATTGGCACTGAATTGATGTACTGAGCGAATTTTCTAAAATATTAACGTATAGTTAAATGCCTTTTTTTACGACAAAGAGAGCTGAATTTTAATGATGAAGGTATTATCTTCACTGTTACAGTCGGGTACTTAGAGAAATGTGTTACTTTCCTACTACGGTGGTCGAGGTTCTGTGAAGCCATAATAGTTTTTGAAGGGAAGAAGGGATATAATTTCGAGGAATGACAATGTACCTCGTTTTACCTCAACTCAAAAATCGACAAATCGAAATGGAACATGACTGTTTTTAACCCACTGGCAGTCGACTGCGCGACTTCTTGAAGTTATCACTTTAATAAACACAAGATACTTCGGCGCAGGCCCACCTGCGCAGTAAACTTAGGGTGAAAATATCCATAAAATAGGCTTAAAGAATTATCTCTTTATACAACTAGAATAATCATTCTCAAACTCATTAACAATTCCTTAAGAAAATACAAAGGAAATTAATGTTTAATGAGTGTTTGGAAATCGGATGAAACACTGCTTAGTATTTGCATCCTTAATTTCTCCTTCAAAAATGATTTTGTTTGAGAAGAAACCTCGAAGTTCGTCAAAAATACTCCGCTGCGCGTCGTATTTTCAACTCTCTTCTCGGTGTTTCATCTGGTGATGAAACACTGCATCTCATGTTTGATATATTACGTAAAAGATATTTTCAAATAAAATTCATTGCCTGCGTACTAAGAAGTGCCCAAAAATTCACCGACATCGCAGAAGTGATGCCATCCTCGGAGACCCAGGGGCACCCAGGAAAACGTCACATGAAAAAGTGAATTCATACTTGTGTCAGTCTCTATCGTGATTTTTTCAACTAGCTTACTTTGTCAAATGCAAGCGAACTCTTCTGGTGCTGAATTTCTATCAACCATATCCAAGTTCATGAGGAGAATGAATTTTGTCATTGCTTGTCTACGGCCTCCACAAAACTTGAAATTAGGCATTTTCACGGGTAGTCGTGCAGTTGAAGGCAAAGAAATGTACAAAAAAGCGTGATGCACGTGCAAAGTTGTTGTTTTGCCTTGTCAAGCTTATCTGACTTTCTCTTGACCGCCCCAACTTAAACTTCCTATTATTTACGATACATTGTGTTCCGTCAGAAACAGAATATTCTCGGGGCAAATTCAGTTGCTCCTCCGGATAGCATCCCAAACGTTTGTTCGACTCATCGGTAGTTCCTTTGTTGCTGGTTAGGAAAGTATAGAATAAAAGTTTCCCTTGCACGCACAAGCTTGGTGAACGAACCGGGCAAGTGTGGCGAGACAATAGCCGTCGTGCACGAACTCACGAAAAGAACTCAGGAGAAACTGTTCGCCGATTGGGCACAATAATACAAAGTATTTTTGTGCCCAATCAAGAGCCAGCATCCGCTTAAATGTTTGGAAATAGTTCGATGAGAGTCGGTACCCAGGGGCTCTTCCGCCCTTACTTGAAAACTTTCGTCCCGCCTTTTCCCCAACCCGACTGACTGTCCCTGGGTCTCCGAGGATGAAGTGATGCGTGTAATGTGAGTAGCATAAAAAGTCAACTTGGATGTTATAGTCTCACGATCGTGTTTTGAGCCAATGTTATGAATGAACAAACACAAAACAATAGACATGAGAAATTATTTCTTGGAGAAATTTATTGAAAAAAAAAAATCCATTAGTTAATCCTTAAAAGCAATTCGCGTAACACTAACTAGATCGTGGAACCGTTTACGCAAGTAAGCACAAACTCACGCCATCTCCATTCGGGGCACATTTTGTATTTTCTTTAAACACCGATACCAAAATGAATTAAACGTCATGAAACATTTATGAATACATAAATTTCCTTTTAAAAACGTAATTTTCTTGACCATAGATTAGAAAATTGTGCCTCAAAATTCTCCAAAACGTCGCCGCCAAGATTGCATTTCAAAACAGGCTAAGCGCTCCGCCGTGAGGAAGATAAGGTTGAATTCCTCGAAGAACAATTTCATAATGAAACGCTTTCCTTTGCCCACAAAAAGAAAACTGAGCTTTCTTTTGAACTTTCTTAATAACCTACAATGAATAGAAATCTCACGCTGTCGAGTTTATCCAAAATTCGCCTATACTAACGCCTCTCCACCAAAGAACTGACAAAAATGAAATGGCCGAAGACCACATTCAGCCTTACAAATTGCAGAGAAGGTACTGTAAAGTCGACGTGGGTATTCAAATGGCAAGAATGCAAATAAATCACGTCCTATCTTCCCCAAAGACGAGAGGTGATGGAGTTGTTTGCTCAATGCATCCATCTTTAACAAACCAATTCGATGATATATTACGGCGCAATGCATCAGGGGAAGACTCCATAATCCTCCCTTTTCCTCGTGCAACAGAGGAAATAGGAGACGTCTGCACGCAGGCAAGCCGTTCCCCCGAAGTGCCTCGCGAAGTCCTGCGATTCCACAGGTGGCCAAGACTCTGCGGGAATTCGTTAGACTGACTTTATAAGAGCATGTATGAAAATAAGCAAAATATGTCCTAAATTCAATTTTCTGACAAAAATATCAATTAAAATGACTCACCCAGTGGTTTTGTTTTGTTATTTACTGTCTCCGTGCTCCCAGAGCCATTTGGAAGCCGTTTTATCGACGTTTAAGATTTTGAATTGTACTAACAATAAGAAATAAGGGGAGGCTGCCGAGTCTGAAGCCGACCGTCCCATCTCGACCTTCTCCATAAATCCCATAAAAATGGTCTAAACTCGCCAAAATAGCCGTTAAAGGATCTGCCAATAATTTGTCTTCCCCTTCGATGTGTTCCATCACAATCGCTCGCGAAGCGCTTGATTTTGAGCTTTTTCCATCAGATTTTTCTTTCTTGCGATGCGTATGACCGGGCAACTGGACGTGACGTAATCAGAGGCACTTCTGTAACTATCGCACGTATACTACAATCTTACAATGTACGTGTTGTACACGAACCGATAACCACTTTACGACGACTACTTACTAAAGTCAAGGACAAAGACAAACCGGAGGACAGACAGGGAGCAGCATACAAGATCAAATGCTGCGACTGCCAGGCCACTTACATTGGTGAAACCGGCCGAAACCTTAGCACGCGACTGACGGAACACAAACGAGCGACAAGAAATGGCGACGGCAGCAATCACATCGCTGAACACCATTAACAGACGAAACATCAAATCGACTGGGACTCTGTGACGTGTATTACGTATTCTACAGACTACTATCGACGGCTCACTTTAGAAAGCTGGTTTACTAACTTAGAACAAACGCCACTGAATCGTTGTCAACAGTTACCGGCAACGTACAAACGACTTATTGACGGACCCAAGCAAAACTAATTACGAGGAAATGACTCGACACTCGATAATTCGACTAACAATAAACGACTGTTTAACTGTGACAATAGACGGATCGAAACGCACCAATGAAATTACGAGTCCTCATAGTCAATAACATCACGGCTTAACTGACAGACGACCGATAACATCGCGACTTAATTGACCAATCAGGTCAATAACCAGAGTTTAATATCATCATCTGACGTGATACAACTCACTTTGACTCTGAAGATGACTACCGCACATGTTTTCGAAACGTCAGTCACGGTCAACAACAACAGTCCTTTTCAGGACTACGTTCACCCGGATCCTGGGTTCAAACCTTTCACAGAAATGGCTGAGTCTATAAAAATGTGAACCAAGTAAAAAGTTATGCATAAATTATATTCGGATTGATCGCCATCGATGTCAATAACAGAATACTATAACAGTAGACTATGCTGTTAAAATAAATGTTACCTCTCTTTGAGTGGAGGAACACAGGTATTCCACCGGTGAGTTTTTCTACGGCTCGTCTCTGACTGAAAGTTCTCGTGGGCCTGGAAAATTCTGGGAACAGCAAACGGTATTTGAATACAAGAGCCGTAGCTAAGATACTACCAGTAACATAAGCGTTAGGCGATTCACTCAAGGAATAATGGTTTCCAGGACAAACAAGTGCAGTTATCCCACCATCTACTAACTGGCCCCATATCTTTTCCAAGCTATGGTACGATCTTGGTGAGAAGCAGTTGTCTTCGCATTTAAGGAATGTGAGTGGACCTCGATAACGGACCTATTTATAAAAAAGAGAGAGAAAAAATATACCTCCTGAAAGACATGGAATCTAGACAAGCTTTTAATATAGATCATTTTTAGTTATTTCATAGAATTAAGACTAGAGCTTTGCGTAAAGTACATGCAAGAAGGAAATTGATGTGTAAGTTGAGAGGTTTATGACTGAGTTGCCTAAGGCGTTCAAGAAACAAGAAAAATAATCAAAATAAGTATTACTTTTCACTAAAAATTCGCAAAACTCTTCTCTTTTTATTGGAGTGCTGTGAGAAAACTGAAACGGAAAGGAAGCAGAGATCTTGTACCTCTGCAGGCTGCCAATCTAGATGTGTCCTACTGGCGACCATTTGATTCTTCAGAAGAGATTCTCTCAGTGTCCTCAAATTGAAGATTGCTAAACCGTTCTCAAGCACCCGTTTTTCTAGTTCTTCCATGATCCATTCTTTGGTGTTTCCCTCTCTCATCTTCTGGTATTCATCTGATGTCATCTTCAGTGAGTCTACTGCCAGTTTCCTCAGATAATTTTCAAATTGGAACTAAAAGAAATAAATCCTCTTCATAATTTGTGATATGCATAAAATCTTGATGTTGTTACAGTTAGAGTATTCTACAATTCTCCTCATTAGAATTAATACATCAAACACTAGGCAAAGTGTTTCAGACATCAAAGGGTAAGAACAAAGTTTAGAATGCGATTCCTGTAGCGCTATTTTTTAGACAAACTTCACCATCTGTGATGAAACATTAGGGCCATTTATACGAGGAAAAATAAGACGCGTCTTACATAGGACGCGTCTTCAATAAGACGCGAACTTTCCGTATAAACGGCACATTTCATCTAAAATAAGACGCGGCTTAGCTAAGACGCGTCTTATTTTAGAACAGCCCTTAACACCTGTTCTTAGATAAGTCGCGTCTGAGCTAAGACGAGAAAAACTTCGTATAATGACCTTCGCGTCTTACATAAGACGCGAACGCATAGTACGCATGCGTTAATTTTTGGCGCGCCACGTTGGATTACCGTTGCTACCGGTAACATTCACATGAAAGCGAGAACAGAAATAAGACGCGAAGCATTTATACGAGCTGTTCTCGTCTTAGATAAGACATGTTCGTATAAATGGTACAGTTCGCGTCTTATTTAAGACGCGTCTTATGTAAGACGTGTCTTATTTTTCTTTGTATAAATGGCCCTACTGTGGTCTGACGTAACCTCTCTGACAAATAACCTCTCTAACAAAATTATCTTGTTTGAGGAAACACAACGCGGTGCCTGATTTGTCCATTTTAGACCTTAAATTGCTACAGCGTTTGTGAAGAGCCTGTCAATAAGTCTAAAAATTTTTAAATACCACTCGCAACTTATCAGTGTGAGATTATCTTTCAAATAGACTTTTTATCGACCAAGATGTTGACATACCTCGACATGTCGACGTTGCGAATTTTCGAGACGCAGCATGTTTTCTAGTCTGTTGGTGGTAGTTCCCAATTGCGACATCCAGGGAAAAGTATCAATCATCGCCACAAACTCCACCCTTTGATTTTGTTCGGTCAACAAGGAAGCCATTTCGTAGGCGAGGAGACCTCCGTATGAATATCCACCCAAAAAGTAAGGGCCTTGACGCTGTTCCTTGCTAATCAAGTGGACGTAATGTGTGGCAAGTTCACGCACTCCACCCCAGTCCTCACTCACTGCTGCTGCATCTGTGTAACCCAGTGCATAGAAGGAAACTATGTCCTAGCGATGGAAAATAGAACGGAAGATTCACGTCTGTTAAGGTAGTGTGTAAGTTCGTAACAACGCAGTTTGAACGTCACGTTGGAGGAACATACGCGTCATATCCTGAGCCCAAGGCTGAATGGAATAGCTCGTTTAGTGTGTAAGAACAGAGTGGCAAGGAGAGGGGGAGGGGGGGGGGGACCAATCATGCCATCACGCATCACTGGCCTATATGGGAGTGTAGTGGGGATCTCGGTAATGTAGTTTGGAAGAATTCTTTTCCAAGTCTACTACTGTGATCGAACTTGATGCACAATGATTGTTTTTGCCTGTAAACATAAGACTTTATTTTTTTTTCGTAATCATTCATCACCTCCCTGAAAGATTTCTTTCTGGTGGCTTAAAAATTATTAGATTAAACATAATTACTTTTATTGTAAGTTAATAAACGGAGGCCTCGCTTTTAGCCCTGGCTAAAGTCTGTACATTATCAGTTCTTATGAATGAATATGGGTATTTTTAACATAGTCAATATGTCACATTTTCTCATTGTTTTGGCTAATGGTTTAGGCAATCTTCATCAGCATCTATACTGATAAATTTACCTGTCCTCGAAATCCTGTTGCTATCGGCATTAAACTCATCGCGTAACGGTGCGACGGATGAACACAGAAGAACTTTATTGCTGAGCCCTCTGGAGTGTACAGCGGTACAACTTGTATTTGGCTTTGAGATCTATCAGGTATAGTTGAAACTTCATCAGATGCCTGTGCTTGCGCATGCCCAGCTTCTTGTCTGTTTTCGTTTTGAGGCTGTTCGTTAGACGGAAGGGTTCCTTGACCTCGTTCATTCATCTTGGCAGTTATGTCTCTCGCTAATTTTAGAGGAGTTGTGTCAGGCTGCATGAAGTAGAAGACCTGCAACAGAAGGCATTATTTTGTATGAGCTTTTCATAATGAGGTACAAAAAGTCCATCCCCAAAGCTGACCCTGTGGATGCCAAGCCATACTGGATTGAACCTTTGAACCAGCCCACCATGTCGCATTACAGTTTATTCCAAACGCTCTGAATACCTGGAAACAGCTATGCACCAGGAGGAATGACTCACAAGGGGATTTTTTTTAAAACCATGTTTGAAAACATATATCATTGGTACATTACCGGCTCTCTGAGGCGTTTACCTGCATATACATTGTGTTTTAACGGATAATTAAACTTTAATTCAGGAGTTAAATTGTACCTCAAAAGAAACTTGCAAATTCATTTCAAACTGCATTTTCAAAGTCAAGGCCGTTGTGGAGTCAACTCCATAGCTATACAAGCTGGCGTTGAGATCTATCTCAGAGGACGAAGAATTTCCAGTAAACTCCGTCACTGAAACACAGACGTATTCGTTGATAAGCTCTTCCCTCTTTTCCCTATCCTTCTCTAAAACGATTCTTTGGGCCAAAGACTCTGTTGAGTTTGTTTCGTTGTCAGAGGCTTTTGCTGTTGAGCGGATAGTGGAAAGTCGTGGCGTTTTCTTCAGCCCATCATTGCTCTTAAAGAGTCGCGGCCAGTCTGGATCAAACAGTGAGATTTGACAGCAGCCTGGCTTCTCAGTTAAGACTTTGACCATGTGTTTAACACCTTCGAAGACAAATCATAAAATAAGTTAGGCTCCATTTCATGACAATATAATTATACCGTCCCTGTCCCTTTCCCTGATATTGTGAACGTACAGACATAACATAACATAACATAAAACTTTATTTATACTCGAATTTTAGAGTAGCTTACAAGCTAATATCTTTGAGCTGACACTACATGAAAATAATATAGAAATATATATAGACATTACATGCATTATAAGAAATAATAATAAAATAATATTAATGATACTAAGCAAATTACAAAAAAAAATATTATTTACAATTCAGAGTTTTAAGTTTAAGAATGTCAGGCAAAAAGAATCTATATGAAGGTAGCATCCTCTATTTTGGTCTTAAAGTCTGCAAAAAAACTGGTACGAAAAAAGTCCGGCTGTGCATTCCACTGCTTAGCTGAAAAGTAAGGAAAGGAGTTAAGACCATAGGTAGTTGTTTTAGGTTTACTTGTGAAAGAATGTAGGTGCCACGAAGATCATAGGAAGAGGACCGGAGTGAAAACATATTCTTCATATAAGTAGGAAAATGAGTGAAAAACAAACTCATGTATATAAAGAAACCCACTAAACTCATTCCGATCCACAGGCCTCATTCAACCTGTTACATTGAGACTATTAGATGATAATCTAATTTTCGGTCGACACGAAAATGCATTTTAAGCAGTCAGCTGCGTACGAGACTAATCTTAACACAGAAGCTGCATAGATAGGGCAATATGCTTGAAGGAAATACGCAACGCCTTTTGAGTTACTGGTTTGATAATTTTCAGTGTTCGTTGATGATTTACAGTGTTAGGCGAGAGCTTAAAAAATCTTTTGGTTAATTTGCCTCGCGAATGATATTTCTCGACAACGTCTTACTTTTTCGGTACACTTTAAGCTTGATTAACATTTACCGAAGAGTAAATGATTACCGATTAATACAGGAGCCAGTGGCATAAAACCTGACGTTTCATTTCAGGCATGAAGCTCATATCTGGGAAGGGAAAAAATATACTTACAACTGTACAAGACATCACATTCATTAAGTTAAACGTAAGATTTTGATCGTTTCTATGGCAACATGATAAATTTAAAAACAAATCTAAAACTTTGAATTTAGTAGGTTTTACTTAAAATCCAGTCAAAAGATTCACTTATGAGTTTGCACACAGCAAACCATTTGTAATCCTCATTTTTTAAAAACAACATGACCAAATTGTAATAAAGTGTTCTTCAAATCTTTAAGAAAATAGTCATCAGGTGCAATTTGATTATGTAACAAAATTCCTTCGTTCAACTTTTATTTTTAGAATGTCATTGATTGAAGTACGATATTCAGAGGAATTCTGCCAAATTTTGTCAACTTCTAAGGAGAATATTTTGAGATACTGTCGGTTGTATACGTTGCCTATGAAAGTCAACAAAAGAAGGGCTGCCTTGTTCCCTAAGTACGCTTGCTCAGCATCTGAGCGCGCAAGAAAAAAGAATAAATTTCTACCGAAAACTTCTGTGCATTTTCCTCAGCCTATTCTTTTCTTGAAAAGCCCGTTGGCTGCATATATTCTCGTGATAAAGATGGTGTCAGTAAAGAGTTTTTCGGGGCGAAAACTTTGAGTTTTTTTCATGTTTCTTCTGATCACGTCAGACTGCGCGCGCGGAAGCAATCGTGTCAGGGAAATTTCTCAGAGCGCCGAACTTTATCTCAGAGAAACTGCATTCAGCCACCTTAAGCTCCTTCAAACTATGTGATTTAATGTACAATAGACTTTATCAATCACGTCTCAACAAGGTTTTACGCAACTAGCTCCAGTTTTTCTGTTATAGGAAGACATTATTTATTCATGCTATATTCAAAACCTCCACAGTAATTATCATGAATGGATTACTGTAAGATACGCTTCCAGAAATCTACAACCTACCATCTTTGGCGTCAACAAAACCAAAACCAGTCAGCGTTAAAAGTTTAGCGATTCCAGTTTCTCTCTCCATTACACCAGCTCCACTGATTGGTCCCCAGTTTATTGCCAGTCCGGGTAGACCGAGCACATGTTTCCTGTACTGAGCAAGAGAATCTTGGAAAGCATTGCAGGCCGAGTATGAGGCTTGTCCCATGTTACCCATGATGGACACCACGGACGAAAACATCACGAAGAAATCTAAAGACATTTTGAGGCTCATTTGATGTAGCAAAAAAGAGCCTAAAAGTCAAGTTTGTAAATTTAGTTAGTGAAAACTGCGAATAATTTGAAAGAAAAAAAATAGTTAATGTTTGAAGAACTTTTAAAAACTGAACAGGCTTTAAAATGTTTGCAATTTTTTTTACTTAGTGCCGTTAGCTATGAACTGTCCTTGAATCCTACTCAATTACACCGTTCTTTGTGCTTAGCGTCAAGAGAGAAAATTTAGTCTGAAAGGTTGGGCCTTGGTCAGTTTAGGCAGTCTTACCTTTGATCTTTGGGCCCATGACTTCATTAAAACCTTTTAATGTAAGGTCTTTGATAAATTCGTCTCTTAGGACCATGGCAGTGTGCACGATGCCTACCACATCTGGAAGGGACTGAAGGCGGTCTTCCAGAGATGACATATGTGTTTGGTTAGATATGTCCGCCTGAAAAAGAGGACGTTGGAAAAGTCCATATGAAGTAACTGATGGCTGTAGTAATAATTCCATATCCTTTTTTTATTCAGGCCCAGAGGCAAGTCACCTGTAAAGTCAATCGATTCTTTAAAAATTATTTGCTCTTATTTCATTGAGCCATGCCACGACAGGTTCCTCAACTTACCTCCAAAACCGGGAAATGAAATCGTCCGAGCGTTAATAGCATCAAATAGGCAATTATGTATTTACCGTTCTTTTCTTTTTGCTGTTATCTCTAGCAAACTTGATGTCGGATTAATTGAACTAAGATAAAAATTCACCGACACAGTTCACGTTTTTGTGTTACAGCTCCCCACGGCCACTAGGGTATAGTGGTGACTGGGAGGTGGGAATGAGACCAAAAGCAAGCCCAAAAGGCCTTAGGGCCCAGAACATGACTCATAAAAGGTATTCTAATGAAGAAACTGGTTTTAAAAACAAGGTTGTACGAATAATTTGAAAGTCGTCTTCAGGTCTTCAATAAAACTGATACAATCGACTGACATAAAATAAGAAACTTGGATAACCTCCGTTTTCAACCATCCAAAGAAGCCTAGGCTGCACCAATGTCCCCTTCCAAAAAAAGGTCACCGCAAACTCAACTCCAAAAAGTCCTCAGATCGCAAATATCAAACTCAGTAAAGAACTTTGCATCCCTTCGTCGCTATGATTTCTGGGTAATCCACAAAAACAATGGTTTAAACAGAAGTATAACCCTTCTTCTGATACACAGGTATTTGTAATAAGCCACGATGGCCTGAGAGACGACCAAAAAAAAGGGGGGAAGTCTACTTAACCTACCTGAATGATATGGAGCGTCGCACCAGTGCCCTTCTCAATCTGACGCACCTCTTGAATTTTAGAATCTGAGGGCATGGAGCGGCCTAAGAGTACTATGGACTTTGCACCGTTTTCTGCCATCCATCGCGCGACTTCAAATCCAAATCCTCGCACTCCTCCTGCTACCAAATAGGATTTGTTTTCTTTCAAACCACACTCATCTAAGCCTTGTGGAAGCACTGGGATGCCCTGAAGGTGCTCCCCTTCTTCAAATGTCCCAAGTGATCGTATGAGAAATGAAATGTCCGAGGACTTTGTTACTTCATCTTTCTGAGATGAAGTTCTGTAAACGGCTTCGTTGGCAGCTTTGATTGCTGATACAAAGTCTACACACTCAACCGCCATTGTAAGAAGCTGTTGTGATACTCTGTTTGTTCCCAAAATTTGTATACTTCGCATGCTTAGCTCCTCGAATACTGACGGGGATCGTAGAACGTCTAATGTATTCTCTCTTTCGTACTTAAAATTCTTGTTCGCGGGAAAGATAACATCGCCTTCGAAATCGGTACTCAAGATAATTACTTTTCCTCCCCTTCTCAGACTAAGACCACTCCTCCGAAGTACATTTGGAAACGGTGGATTGAAGAACAAGACAGCGTCAAACTGGTCGTTTAAATCATCATTATAACGTGGGGAACTCTGCTGCTTAACACTCTCTGCGCCCAGATCGGTAAGAAGACCCTTTGTGGATGATCCGCAATTGTCGGAGATTGTGCAGAAGACTCTGTGACCCAGTGTTTTTCCCAGAACTACTGCTGCTGGTCCAGGACCACGATTGGCTTCATTGATTAGAAGTTTCTGTTTTTCGGCGCCAGACGCTGCCTTTTGTAGAGCATGAAATGCCAGCGCCAGGCATGCTGGAAGGTAACTGGCTTGTTCCATTGTCAGGTTGGAAGGTTTCAAAAACACATTACTGACATGTATTGGAATGAAACGTGCAACACGGCCAGAGGGAATGACACCACACACATCGTCTCCAATTTGCAAAGTACTCCTGCCATTTCCTGGATGATCAGTCACTTTACCACTCACGAAGACACATCCATTTGTTTTTGAGACTTCAAAGAGTGATTCTGAGGGTGTCCAGCAGTAGGTCACCTCTACTGTGACTTCGGATTGCGTTGCCTTTGGAAAACATTGTTCGCGAAAGCAAAGCGATTTTGACGATGGAACTGTTGAAAGATAAAGATGTCTTTTATTCCTGCTCTCTTTTCTTTTAATGATATTATGGGTGTCTTGGTGTAATTTTGTCCTGGTCAGACGATTTATAAATCTTCTACCACCTCGAAAGGCCACCTCGTCTTCGATGCTGTCACCTAAAATTTCATCGACCAAGCAATCTACTTCCCGTTTATCTTCTTTGTTAGACAGGTCAACAGCGGTAACACTGAGATCAACATGTTCAAGGTTCGCAGTTCGTTTCAGTCCCCAGACGGTAGCACCCCATGGAATGGAATTTAATTTACCAGAATTGTCACAAGCATCCAAAAACTGTGTTCGTTCGGTGATAAGAAACAGTCGAGAATCAACGAACTCTTTCTCTGTTAACAGCTGAATTAGGAACGCAGAGCTGCTAAAAGCGAGTTTTTGAGCTTGTTCAATGACAGCGAAATGATCCAGTAGAAGTGATGTATCCACAGGCCAGAGATGGATAACCCTCAACAGAGAAGAATTAATTGACGGTATTTCTTCAAAGGCGATTTTTATTGATTCTTGGACTTCGTGGTTTAAACATCGACCATCTGGAGGATTAATGGCGATAACATTGACCCCACGAGCTTGAAGTGACGAGACTAAATAATTTGACAAATCAGAGGTATCTTTGAGTACCATGCAGGTCAGATGCGGCGAAATTTCTCCCTGGTTCGTTAACTTAGCTTCAATCCAGTGGACATCGTAGGCAAGATCAGCTAAAGGAAGTTGACGAGGTGTACTTGTTAACGCTGCAACTCGGAAATCAGTCATTTTGAGCAGAATGTAGCCAGCTGGACACATGAGCGTCACGTCAAATCTTCCAAACTCGGAAACATGAGCAGTTACGTGGCAATATAGCTGGCTGGTTGATGGTAAGTCATTCAGGGCAATACTTTTGAAACCAACTGGTACAATGGACTTATCATCGATCAACGAACTTCCCAGGGGAACAAAGCAAGATTGAAGGCAAGCATCTAAAATAGATGGATGTACAATGTAACGTTCAGTTTCCTCTTGGATGGTGAGTACCTTTGTGATATCAACCAGGCATAACCCCTCGTTGTCGCTTTTCCATATCTTTTTTATGATGGAGAAGGACGGGCCGTAGTTGAATCCGAAATTCTCTGTTAGTTCTCGGAACTTTTCATTCGGCATTAGCTCCATGCCTTCCATTAGCTCACTTATTACTGGACCGACCAGGCTAGACGCTGAAACTACAAAATAAAATGTTAACTTGTACGGGATACTGGTCATCGTTATGTCTGAAAGTTTGGGTGTTTGAGCAAAGAATAAAAGTTATAGAATAAAAAGCTAAGAAATGACAAAACGATGGCTGATAGCAGTATAATCTATAATAGCGGAGAAACCATGGGTAATAAAATTTGGTAAACTATCCATCCGAGAAAATTTGGTTATGACGTCACCGTTCGTCCGTAGGGGATAAGTAGAAACGAATTCCTCCCCTCTCAGCTAGAGAGTTTTGTCCCCTATTGTTTCAGACGCCTTTAGAAATGATTGACAAATCAGAATCTGTCAACTGACCAAATGTTTGGTGAATTTTAGGGTTGACCATTTGACTTTTGAGGGGGTTATGGGTGATTTCAGAAAAAATGTCCAACAGACTGTTTTCGGGAGGAAAATAGCTTGCAAATAAATTCCTGGGAAAAAAATATCGTGCACTGAAAAAAATATCACTCATGAAGTATAATGCTGAAAAAGAATCTTACACCGTTATATCTCGGGGAAAAAATTTCTAACTCCAGAGAGGTTTGGGAAAAAATTCTTAAACTAAATCAGTAAAATCACCCATACCCCACTCCCCCACAAACGTCGAATGGTCATGTCAACCATTTAGGGGGTGAGGGAAGAAACGGATTTGACACCTTAGTAAATGTCATCCATCAACAAAATGGCTAGCTCGCGTTCATCATGTGGTGGTTTTCCAGACTAAAGTTTTGCATTTCAAGATTGAAAATGAGCCGATAAAAGACACACAAGGAAAGAGAAAGTTAAAAAGATTGCTCAATTTCCTTTTTTTGGACAAACGAAAGCTTTTCGCTATGACATTGCCTTTCGAGGAATTCAATCTTGTTTTCTACACGTCGGATCGGAGCGCTTGGCTTGTTTTGAACCAAAAAGGCAGCGAGGTTTCTGAAGACAATTGAGGTACATTTCGTACTCTATGATCATAGAAAAGTACGTTTTTAAAATGGAATTTTTGTATTTATAAAGATTTCAGGGACGTTTTCTACATTTTGACGTCTGCGTGAAAGAAAAACCACAAAATGTGCATTTGAAATTGATTTGTTTGCCATGTGCTCCACCGATTTAACTTGCGTGAACGCAACGATTTAACTTGTCTTACGCGAATTGCTTTTTAGGATTAAGTTATGGGTTCTTGAATAAACATTTTCAAGAAATTAAGTTATTTATCTGTCATTGTTCATTCATAACATTAGCTCAAAAATGAGACTACAGATCGTGACATTTTTAAACAACATTCAGACGGGCCCTTTCTTGAATTAAAACTGAGGTGTTGTTTTTGTACATGTTCCGCATTGAATTGCTATTGATTTTCTCATTCATTACTTGCCATTCAAGAATTTTGCAGTGTGTAGAATTCAAGAATTTCTGCAGTTTTGCAGTGTGCAGCGTGATGCTCTTTTAGCTTCTTTTCCCATAACTTGTGCCCTGAATACGGCTGAATACCAGTTGAATTAAGTTCACTGCGTTTGTTTTCAGTTGCTTGTTTACGGGTTTATATTCTCACTGAAAAAGTGAGCTTATCTAAAAAATGAAGGAGTTCTCCTCTACTATAAAACGGACAGTCTTGTCGGCTTTTCGATCCCGAGTTTGTCTTTTTTTTTATTAATGAAAAAAGTTTTAATTTGCTGTATTACCCTTTATATTTGTAGTGAAAGACTGGATTATAGTTATTAGTAGCGAAAAAGGTTATCGTTTGCTTTCCTATGTCTGTCCTCAGAGAAAATATTATACACCTTACGGTAAAATTTTCTTTCAGATATCTTGACGCATAAATGTAAGGCCTACACATAACTGTTCGTCCGGGCCCGTTTAAAAAAAAGAAAAGAAAAGAAAATATAATGGGCTTACGGTAAGACAAAAGTCCTTAAGTCGGCCTGATTTTCCTTTTAGGTCTTTCCTTAACACCGACCCTAGAAATCATAACCTGTAAATTGCTGCTAGTTAAGAGACCTACAATTCAACAATTTTTTCAATTCAGGTTTGTTTGCGGGCTAGTTTTTCTTAATCATTTAGCCCATCCCTCTAAATTTGTCTGATGTAGAAGGCTCTTAGGGATGTGAAGATTTCGTTTTTTGGCTTAGAGTTCACGTTATTACTTTAATTTGATTGCTTTTATTATAAGTATAGAAATGAAGGCTTCGCTTCTAGCCCTGGCTAAATCTATACATTATCAGTTAATGTTACCTACCCGCTTTTTCTGTCTGTAAAAGATCCGGGTAAATTTTTCCACTGCTTAGGACAATCTCGGAATGGTCCTCCTGTACACATGTTATGTTAAACTCTGCGATCCCAATCCTTTTCGTCTTGTGAATACGCAGTCGTAAAGATCGAACCTGCAACAGAAAAAGTGCGATTTGACCATTTAGAAGAGATAAAACTGGCATGTTCATGATTCAGCCGGTTATTCTTTAAGTACTTAAGTAAGTAATCTTGAAAAGAGCATAAAAAGGAAATTGTTAAAAATTAGAATATAATAAAGTTACCTGTGTTTCGGGCAGTGTGAGAAGGTTCGAGAGCCTCACATCAGCTAGTTCTAGCCCAGCTACATGGACAAATTGATCCATTGCCATTGCAAAGGCCATTTCGAGGTACGCAGCTCCTGGCATCACAGTTGTTCCCTGAATAAGAGCGTGATCTTTAAGATCAGGAAAGCGATGGAGGTCAATTTCAGTTTCCCAACAGTGTAGGGCTGAGTACAGACTGGTTTGTTTCACCTTGCCTAAAAATGGATGAAGTCTCTTCTCTGAACTTGGCTTGGCATCAGCTGGTTGGATTATGGTTTGGGGTGGTTGTTCCCTGTACCAATGAGTGTTTTTAAGCCATGGATAGGTTAACGAGCGCACAAATTTTGCCGAAGGATTTGTCTGCACAGAAGTCCAATCTACAGGAAAACCAACTGTGTACAGTTTGCACACTGTGTTTAGAAGAAAAGACTTGCACTGCTCGTTGACAGGTACTCTCTTACGAGGAAGGGTTTCCATAACGATTGGCCTTGCTTGATCTTGCAAGTTCTCTTGAATAGAAATCTTTTTAACATAATGTGCTAAAATGGGTTGGGTGCTTATCTCAACTATCTGTTTGTAGCCATCCTGGAGCAGGTGTCTCATTGCTGAGTAAAACTGAACTGGACAGCGAATGTTACGCCACCAGTACTCGTCGTTGAACTCTTGACCACAGAGGACGTCTCCCACAACTGTAGAATACATTGGAATCTGGGACGGTTTAGGGTGTAGAGAAACATGCTTCAACTTTTCTTGAAATGGCGTTTTAATGAATTCCATGTGTGAGCTGTGAAATGCACGTTTTGTTCCAAGAACACGCCAGAAAGTGTCGTTCTCGTGCATAGCTATGTGCTGACCCAAAACTTCAACTGATCGACTATCACCAGACACTGTCACGCTCTCTGCATCATTGATTGCAGCAATGCTAAGGGTAGGACTTAACTTTAACTCATCTAGCATTGCTTTTGCTTTTTCTTCCGACATACCCAGAGCCGCCATTCTACCATTACTGGGACATTCATCTTGTACAGAAGATCGAGTTAACACCAATTGAACTGCTTCCTTTAGTGTTATGATCCCAGCAACGCATGCTGCAGCAATCTCTCCAAGACTGTGACCAAGTACAGCGGAGGGATAGATTCTCCAAGACATCAGAAGTTTTGCAGTGGCATACTGTATTGCGAACGTAGCCGGCTGAGCAATGGAATTTTCTGAGATCTTTGATTCTTCCTCTGGTGCCATGATCTCATCTAAAAGTGACAGTGATTTTCCCACGTCCTTTATCAAATTGTGGACAGTTAAAATAGTATCTTTGAAGACAGGTTCCATTTCAATTAACTGTCTTCCCATAGCATACCACTGGGAGCCTTGTCCTCCAAATAAGAACACGATTTTTGAATCAGCTGCGTTCGCCACCCCGTTGGCAACTACCTTCTCCAATCCTACTGATTCGTTAGCGTACTCTGTCAAAGTCTCGGAAGCTTCGGATATAGTTTGAAAGGTAAGTGCTAAACGGTGGGGAAACTGACTGCGACGTTCGTTCAGTGAGTAGCACAAGTTTACCACAAACGTCTCATTTTCTTCAGCCTGATCTTCAAACCACTGCGAATAGAGTCGTGCCATTCGCTTTAGAGCTTCTTTAGAATGTGCTGACAAGGTGAGGATATGACGTGGACGTCTAAGTTTGCCATTATCTTCATTATAGCTTGGCTTTGTTTCAACTTCTCGAACAATAACGTGCACGTTTGATCCACCATAACCAAAGGAGTTTACGGCACCTATTCGTGGTTTTCCTCCTTCTGTGTTCCAAGGCTCGTTTGTTTGTTGCACAACAAGTCCTTTTTCATTTAATTTTAGTTTTGGATTTAACACACGAACATTAATAGTTGGCACCAATCTCTTGTTTTTGATCATTAACGCGACTTTAATGAGCCCAGCCAGTCCTGAGGTTGATTCGGTGTGGTTGAGGTTTGACTTTACTGATCCGATTTTAAGCTGTCGTTTAGTTCCTCTTGTATAAATTTCCCCAATTGAAGTGACTTCTATGACGTCTCCGATGGCAGTTCCAGTGCCATGAGCCTCAAGGTAATCCACTTCCTCTGGATTCAAACCTGTTTGCTCAAGGACCACCTTGAATAGTTCAGCTTGCGTCTTTGCACTTGGTGCTGTCATGGGTACAGAGTTATGGCCATCGTTGTTCATACCACAAGCCATTATCTCGCAATATGCATCATCTTTATCGTTCAAAGCTGCATCAGAGAGTTTGAGAACAATTGCTGCAAAGCCTTCTCCCCTTCCATAACCGTCGCCAGATGCATCAAAACTCTTGCAGCGCCCATCAGGCGCTAGAAGACCAGCCATGCTAGATACCATCTGCAAGGCATGGCTTAAGACAATGTTAGGTGCACAAATTATTGCTACGTCGCAATCGCCAGTACGTAGGTTATCGCAAGCAAGTTTTAGTGCTGTCAAGGAAGAAGAGCACGCAGTGTCAACCGCAAAGCTTGGACCTGTGAGGTTGAGGCAAAATGAGATTCTGTTTGCTAATATTGATGCTGTAATGCCTGTTGATGAAAACTGGTTGATATTGTTGTGATTTGATGGATCTGTTATCAAAGTACCGTAGTCTAGGTTCATTACACCCAGAAACACCCCTGTCTTACATCTCTGAAGATCCTCAAGGCGCATTCCGGCGTCTTCAATGGCCTCATACACCACTTCCAAGAGAATCCGTTGTTGGGGGTCCATTCCACGAGCCTCTTGATCTGATATACCGAAGAACTCGTTGTCAAAAGATAGAATGTCTTCTAAATATGATCCCCTAACGGTACAAAGACGTCCACTGACAAAGCGCTTGTGATGATATAGTCGGTAAAATGCCTCATGTTGCCCTTTTCTGTTAAGGGGAAAATCTCTAATGGCACTCTTTCCTTGCTCAAGTAAGTTCCAAAATAGTTCCTTACTGTTTGCCCCAGGAAACCTGCAGCTAATTCCAACAATGGATATTGCAGGGCGTTTGTTTGTCGCTTTTGGTAAACTACCAAAGAGCATTTCAAGAGACATTTTTCTCCGTTTTGACTTTGTTTGGTCGGGGAAGATGTTCAAGAGATCAAAAGTGTCCTTGAACTTGAATAATAAAGTGACCGTTGGTGGTAATATTACCACAGCATGGATCAGCCCCAAGGAAAACACGACGGGAATGAGTCGAAAGAAAATATTTTGTAGATTTGGAAAAATGAATCCCAATGAAATGGAACCTGATATGTCTAAAATGGCTGCAATAAACAGAGGCCACCCAACTGAGGCCAAGGCGTTGATCGTGCGTTCTCTTATTATTCGCTTCTCTGAGAACATAAATGCTTGGGCCACTTGAACACTGAAATTATGTGCTAAGGCAACCGTGAAATACAAAGAAATAAAGGTTATGTGATTCAGGTGAATTGCCCACACTTCCATGACGGCTGCTGTCTCTAGTAGAAGCATACCAAATGATAGTACTAGGAAGATACTGATCCTTAAACTTGAACAAGAAAGCAGAGAGGTGACAAAGACCACAACTGTGGCAATGATGAGTAAGAGGACGATTTCTCTTTCCAACGAGAAGAGGTCTTCAATCTTGAAAAATGACTTCGACACTGGTTTAGGTCTCAGGGAAACTGAAATTGAATCTCTCAGCTTATCTAGCGATTCTCTGTTTTTACTTAGTCGCTTGTGCAGTACCATCTTAACATGGAAACGAGATGCCAAAATTAGAGATCGAGGATTATTCTCTTGAAAATGTACATCTTGTCTGAAAGAAATACTGTGTGATGTATTAAGAAAGCCGTTTAAACACGAGTAAAATTGTGAATTCTGGCAACTTTTATTTCCATTCTTTGCCCAATTTAACAAGGCTTCAATCCAACACACTGATTTTTCCTGACTGTAAGAAGCCTCTCTCAGATTTTTACAGATTTGGAGTAGCTGTTCTTGGATAACTTTGCTTGAGTAATCGGCCTCCTCGGAGAAGACGACACTTACATCCGTTTGGTTTTCAAAGAATTTCTGGCGCGCGTCATTAAACTTGATGAAGTTTACATCTTGTCGGTAAAGGTTCTCCGTAGCACTAGTTCTCTCACCAGCGTATAGTGCAGACGATACACCCAAAATTACGAGGCAGATCAAAGTGAAGATTGAAATCACTTTACCGCCAAGTGAAGTTATTAAACGAGGGACGCTCTTCAAAAAGTGTCGCATCTTACTTCCCACTTTTTCTCTTACTCCTTCGTCATAGGGCCTGGCGCAAAATGTGTTTAGTGGTTTCAACTGCCTTTCTACTAACTGTGTTAAAGCTGCAGTTGTTATGAAAGATGCAGCTGAAACAAGCAAAAATGCTATCATAGCAACCAGGAAGAAACAGGAAATTATTTCAAACGAAGATTTGATTGCAATCCCTACGAGAATGGTTCCACAAAGGGCCGAAAAAAATTGAACAGTTGCCACTCTTGCAATGCAGCTGGTGATTCGGTATTCAAGCGATGGTATGTTTTGTAGCCACTCCCATTCTCTTAAGAAGAGGGCTAAGTCTGATGTTGCTTTTCCCAACAAAAGAAACGGAATCAACACTGTGGATGGGAAAAAGGAAATATCTACCATTGAAACGATGCCTGCAATGCATATGAAGGGTAACAGGGCCGACGAGAGCAAATACATTGCAGTTGTTAGACAGCTGAGATTACGGAAGGTAATGTAAATAACGAGGAAAGCAAGAAATACTACTGTTAAAAATGACCAACAGAGTGCCTTTATATCTGCCTTCAAGTTTTGCTGTAAAGCATCATCCATTGCTTTTCCACTCTTGTAAAAGAGCGATGCACAGTTCAGCCGATTATTTATTGATAATATCTTCATCTCAAAAGTGGTCTCAAAATCCAAAACCTTCTGATTCTCCTCCTCGTTAGTTGACTTTCTAATAAAGTATGTGATTCGAAGCGCTTCAGCCTGCCCAGCCGGCGGATTCGTTGAGTCATCGACATGAAAATTACCGAGCATTTGCATGTAAGATGTTTGGAGCGACTGACCATCTGAAAGGATTGTTTTGGGATAATACTTCTCTCGAGCCAGAATTAAAGATAGATTGCTTAAATGCTCAAAGTTGTCACCAGCCAACTCCAAAGGATTGCTGACGGCGCACTTTTGTTTGTTGGAGATTTTGGTGTTGCTTGTGGGCTGAGGTTGTTTGAAACACAAATTTCGGTAATCGCTAATATTCAAAACGGCTTGGTGCACAATTTTCGCTTCTTTTAAACATTCGTTATCGAGGATGTTTTTATTGCGTTTAGGGACCAGAATGATCTGCTCTTGACGTGAATCAAGGAGTGGAAAGAATTGTACTGCATGCTGTAAGTCTAGTCTTGATTGGCTACCAGTCATAATGAATTGTTTACTGGACGGCTGCTCAACATTTATCCTAATGAAACCCAAGCAGCTTGCAACGAAAAAGATTAGTGACAGTAACAAGAGAACCAATGGTCTTTGCCTAGCTAGGAAGAAACCAATTTTCCCGAGAACTTTATCATAAGCTAGGAGCATGTATACGGAAACTTTCCCACATCTTCTGGGAATATTCCTTGCGCCAAGGTAATGTTCGTTAGGTTCCTCGGAGAAGTCGTAAGATCTGTAGGCATAAGCATTCAATAAAAGAATGAATGGAATTATTAGCCTTGGATATATCAATAACGATTTAGATTTATATCACAAAAGTTAGTCAAAATTAATGTAAGCGGTTTCCTCTTTTGAGACACACGAGTTTCAGTGCGGGCACAGACAGACCACCCTCTGTTCGTGTGGCAGTTATTGTTATTGAAATCTTGACATCGATCTTTTATACTCGGCAACAGAAGAAACAGATGAACATTACGACGGTTACAATTAACTCCCAAATAAAGATTTAAACCTAAATGTTTCAATAAAAGTTCAAGCTAAATTTTAACTTTGTCATATTTTTTGGCTGTCCCGAGCTGTTTAAAGCGTTGCAAGATGATTATTTTATCCCGGGGGTTAGAACTTAAGTTTCTTTTTACTCCTGCCCCAATCTCCTCGCGGTTTCACTGTCTTCGCCCGCTTTAGGTTCCGCCCGACCAAAACCGCCATGCTACGCAGGCCATCTAAGATTAGGAGGCCTGAAACCCCATTATCATTGCCTTGGTGCCTGGAAACAACAAGACATGGTCACTGAATCGACGCAAACCCAATATGGCGGAAAATATGATGGTCGATCAGTTCATAGTAAAAAGCAAAAAGGATACACCACGGAAACTCCTATAACTGGAAACACTGTTACAATGCTCATTTTTCCGATTAAAAGATTTAATTAAAGTCAAAAAAGGTTTGACTACGTCGTTCCTTTTTTGAAAAGACTAAAAATTTAGGTCGGTCGGACGACGCTAAACGAGGAACGTTTTCATATGACCTGACAGAAATATCGCACTTTCGGTACAAACGGCCGATAGCGGTTAGCAATGAAATAATGGCATTCCAAAACACAACAACATAAAATAAAAATAACATAAAATATTGTCTTTCTTTTCTTTCATGGATAAGTAGAAATCCTAAGATAACATTAAACCACCCATTTTTGCGTTCTACTTAAGTCTTGGTGACCTGACTGGTGGATGTAGGAGGTAGGGCGAATTCTCTCTTTACCCTCTCGTGTTACTAGGCTACATTCTGTTGCTTAAACTTTGCATGAACTGCACGTAAAATAGCCAATTTCTGCGGCCTTCTTTGCAAGAACGGCATTCTGGAATTAAAAGTAAGGCCCCGTAAATTATATGGAAAAACACTTGTCCTGAAGGGTCACTTGCCAAACCCAGCTGAAAAATAATCCTCATTTACATTAAGTACAAAAGTGCAATTCGGGATACTACAGAGTTCGATATTGGGGCCAACCTTATTTAATTTATACGCAAACGATCTAAACGATATCCCCGACCGCACGGCGTTTCAATATGCAGAAGACACGATCATCATGAAGCACTGCACCCTTTCCGATCTGGACGCTACCGTTGGACAATTGAATAGCGCCATGCCAACCCTTGAAGACGGGTCAAGAATTCCAACTCACTGCTTAATGCAAAAAAGACCAAGCGAGTGATGATAACCACAGAAATGTCTAGAGTGCATAAATTACAAGATCAGTTGCCCAGATAAGTGAAATGGAAAAGTGTTCGACAGAGTCACCTCGCACAAGTTCCTTCGTGTGTGGATACAAGAAAACCTCAAATGGACCGATCACGTGACTGAGACCGTATCATCGTGCTTTGCAGCCCTACCAACAATCAAGAGGATCAGAAACATGGCACCCAAAATTTTAAGGAAGCAATTGGTTGAGGCATTAATACTTTCGAAGCGTGATTAATTTTAACGACGTTGTATTGTATCCACTACCGCAACACCTTGAAGCAAAATCACCGCGAGTTTGAAGATGCACTGCTAGTTTTGATAACAACCGTTACGCAGTGAAAAATGGCTGAATTTCATGTGTTAAGGCCAGCCCATAGAGCCTTTTATTATATGGAAGAGAGTGTTTTACTGGGAACTAAACCACTCGTAGATTCCATACGCCACTTCATCCGGGACCCGAGTGGCGTATTTCCGTATGTCACCTTTGTGAGTGTCGTATCGTTCAATGACGTCACGATTCCCGCCTTTTGGTTTTGTTGAATTGGTTTCTCCATATAATAAAAAGAACATTACACGTTGGCTCAAAGATATGAATTTTATGTTCTCGTGGCAAGAACAATATCTCACTCGTTCGCTTCGCTCACTCGTGAGATATTGTTCTTGCCACTCGAACATAAAATTCATATCTTCTCGCCACGGTGTAATATCCTCTATATATGGTACCCACTGGCCGAGCTATTTAACTCTGGATAGACGTCACACTACTAGGAATCCACGCTCAAGTGCTATATCGCAACTGATAGTGCCCCTTGAAACAGAAACTTTTGAAGATTCAGCCTCCAGGTTATTTAACAGTCTGCCAAATGACATGAAACGTGAGACTAATGCTAAAACATTTGCGAGAAAAGCTTTTAAATTATTTAAAACTAAGGCCGAATCCCGATTAGGTTAATTTATTTACGTATTTATGTTCGTTTGACTTATTGCTTTTACAAGTTATATTTTATATACCCACATGTACTTTCATTTCTATACATATAACACATGTATAAATACATGTTATTAGTTAGTATAATTTTTGCAGTGGCCTATTACTGTGTTAGGTATCGCACGTGGCAACAACACTACATCATCCGTTCTGAGAGGATCCCTCCTATTAGAAGCCCCATCCGTAAGAGGGGATTTTTCAATGGCCACAAACACCAGTTAACATTCATATTATCAGCTGAAAGGGATAAGAACATTCCTTTGAAAGGGATGAAGAAGGGTGTCTACTTGTTTTCAGAGTCAGAGAATAGGAGTGTGCATCAATTTTTGAGCTTTGTGTCCAGATTGTTGCACCTATATTCCGAAAATGCGATATCTGAGCCATTCGTAAAAAAACAACAACAAAGAAACAAACAAACAAAAGAAAACAAAAGGATATGGCCTTCCTCTTTGTTTTCGGTTCAACACTAGGATCCCTTAATTTAAAAAATGGGGGGGGGGGGGGGGAAGGGGGAGGAATTTTTCCCAGGAAGGTGGCAACAAAATTCACGAAAAAAAAGGTATACTGGTACCTTGGTTTAGTTTGGGAAGGAAAACGGGGCCTAAGGGTAACACTACCTTACCTTGTTTGCCCCGGAAAGGCAAATATCTGTTTTTTTTTACTGATTTAACAGAAAAATAAAAAAAAAAAGAGCGATGGAATGGTGAGGGTTAGAATCAAGTGAGAGATAGTGTGACTTAGGGATGTCTTGGGGTGTGAGGGAGGAGTACAAGAGGGGGATGTGTGGGGGAGGAGGAAGAGTAAGGTGTAGTAATCTTCCTCAGTAAGTGTGCAACAGAATTCACGAATAATAAGTTATACTGGTACCTGGATTTAGTTGGGAAAGAAGAACGTGCCCTAAGGGTATCACTACCTTACTTAGTTGACCGCGGAAAGTCAACTATCTGTATTTTTTCACGGATTTAAAGCTCTTGCTTCGATCGTAGTGATTTACCCAAGGAAAGTTTTACAGTTGTCTGTAGATCATCCTTCTAACATTCAACCACCTGAAGCTTAGTCGATTTGAAGGTTTCGCACTGGCTGAAAATTTATTTTTTCTCACACATTACTTTTGCTGAAGTAAATTATATGCTTTCAAAATTAAATTATTTTGTACACAAAGAACAACGCACTATGTCCCCAAATCAGGTATTTAGAAGTTTTAAAAAAGGACTGTAATGTTTTTAAGACTGTAGAGTAATCTGTTTTTGCACGCGAAGCTCTCAAACCCGTGTTACAATTGAGCTCCTCAAAGGACGATATCAACGGATTTTGGTTGGTTTCCATTTATCTTTGAAATAAAGCATATTTCACCGAAAAAGCTATACAGTGGTTTTTGTTATACCTTAGGCTATCTAACATTAAAATATGACAAAAAAATCGAATTTTCCACCCTTGCCATGAAATTTTGAATCTGTCCAATTTTTTACAGATAGGCGCCCTTAAGGTGCATGTCTAGAATTCCCATCCCCTCCTTTACCGAGACTTCTTCCCCCACCCTAAGAGTTGTACGGACGGACGGACGACGAGTTTACGCTGACTTCATAACCAAATTTTCTTGCATCCTGTGCACGCGGCGTAGCCTTATTGCTATATTTGGATATGTGGAAATATGGCTTACAATTGAAAGCAATGGAAGAGGATTTGGAATGCCTAAGAATTAGTCACGCGTTTCAATGAGCAGACCGAAGAGTACCAAGTGGCCGCACGCGTCTCACAATGGCTTCCCATTTCAAAGCCGAAAGGATGGGAGGAAGAATTTAGCCAAAATCTTGGAATTATGGGAATCCTTTTGCTTCAGAGAAAGAACATTATTTATGAAAGACAGTTGGAAGAGGAGTAAGACAGGGAGACCCTCTCTCTGTTTACTTATTTATTATAGCATTAGTAGTCTTATGTGTTAATATATAGCTATATATCTAACAGAAATGACATCAGTGGTACTACAGTTGATAATGAAGACATCAAAGTAAGTCTGTTCGCAGATGACATGACTGTTTTTTTAAAAGATGATCTCTCTCTAACAAAGTTTCTTAAACATATAGAAGATTATGGAACTTGCCCTGGCCTAAATGTTAACCACGAAAAGTCAGAGCTTTTGCTGCTAAGTAATACGGCCTATATCGTACAAGAAGCTGCTCTGAACAACATGAAAATTAAACGATCCGTTAAAATGTTGGGAGTACATTTTACCTATGACATTCGAGCAAAACAAAAGTTAAACATCAATGAATTAATAAGCTCCATTCAACTTAAGCTACATATTTGGAGGTGGAGGGATTTAACTAATATATAGATTTAGCCTGGGCTAATAGCGAGGCTCCCATTAATAAATTTATAATTTAAATCAAACAATAAACTTGTATTCCATAATTCAATAAACTTTAGAGCCCATTCATGTGACTTTTGAGGGAAAGGCTAAGTGATTTTAGAGAAAAATAATTTGCAAACAGCCCAAGATAGCCTCATATGTACA